CATTTTAATGGAAATAAAACGAAAACATTTAAAAGACATCTAGAGATAAGTAAAATTTATTCTAGAATCTAGTTTTATGTTTCCACCATAATTTAAAAAAATATCGCTTTTATATATAGGCTACTGGTCTTTGGCGTGCTTATTTAAATGTCGTCTTTGTGTATTTTTGTCACTCAGAATAAGTCCATATAATAAACAGAACATTAAACAGTTGCGAGAATATATATATATATATATATATATATATATATATATATATATATATATATATATATATATATATATATATATATATATATATAGTTTTTCGTTTTACCTCAAAAAACCACAACAGTGGTTTTGAGGTAAAACGAAAAACTATATTACGCTCTATCTATATGGTATTGAGCACTGTTTGTGTTTCGTAAACCAAAACCTTAATGTTATTTACTGGCTGCGAGGTCCGGATGAGAAAAACTGTGCCCGAGTTATCAGATGTAAAAATTAATCAGATGTAAAAATTAAATTCATTAAAATTCCAGTGTTGCTTGCGAACAAATTTGAGATCAGTGCAGTTGTTTATTCTTAAAGCGAGGCTGACAAAAATTGAAAAGTTGAAACTTGAAAGATATAAAACACGAATACGAAAATTCGAGAAAACTGGTAAGAAATACACAAAAAGACGTATAGTTTCAGTACAAATTTACATGCTTTTTTCATGAATATGGTAGCAGTGAAGTTTTGGAATAAAACGTGTTAAGCCTGGCGTTTTGGCTTTGACAAATTCAGTTGCTTCTGACAACGACAGGTTCATGTGAAGATCCGACTCAAAAACACATGAAAATGAATCTGTTTTGATTTAATCAACTTTTTTCTACTAGAAGGACAATGGAAAAGGTATGCTATTTTTATATTTTTGTATTTTTTCTGGTCGCGATCGTTTCACGATAATATGCTTGAAAAAAGAGTTTAAAATTAAACACAGACTTTTTATACGTTGTTTACAATATTTATAGGCCTATCATGCAGTGAAGTGACTTGTTTTCACTGCTGCAGTTAAACCTTCTTTTAAATGGGAAAACATTTATTTTACAATATCTGTTTAAGCTGTAATTCTTTCGCTTTTAAGTTGCCGAATACACGAGCATTTAAAAATATATAGTTTTCTCAGCGTAAGTTTTAAGCCCCGTTTACCGACTACGCTCAATTTTTGGTACGGCACGAATAAAATTGGTACCCGTACCATTTTTTTGGTTCTTGGACTACCTATTTAGGTAGTCCAAGAACCAAAAAAGTGGTACGGTACCAAAAATCGAGCGTAGTGTAAACGGGGCTTAATTTTGCTAGTTTTTTGAAACCAAAAAAGTGGTACGGATGCCTATTTTATCCGTGCCGTACCAAAAATCGAGCGTAGTGTAAACGGGGCTTAAGACACTTAAACGAGGACATCTTATCGCGAATGCGAACACATTGATTCCTTCTCGTCAAAAAGGCTCGAATCCATCCCACTACAGCGGGGCGTACATTCATTTTCTCTCATTCAGCAATTAAGACAGTGTGATCAACTAAATAGAAACCTTCACTAAAGTCAGCGAAAAATACGCGAGCCGAGGAACCACCTCGGTCAAGGATCTCCAGGACATTATGTAGTAAAAAGACTAATGCTTTTGTTGTAGAACGGCTTTTCATCGCGAACTGATATGGGTCAATTTGGTCGCCAATATCAGCCAGTAAGGGTTCCAAAGTAAAGTCTTCCATTAATTTGGCTATCTGAGGTGTCAGAGATATTGGACGAAGGTCGTCTTCAATTATCTTGGGCGGCATACACTTAGGCATTGGGGAGACAATTGATGACTTTAGTAATTCAGGGATTTTTCCTTGTCTCAAAGTACTGTTATAAATGTCAGACACCACTGGGGATAATTCGAAATAAAGTCTCGAAGTATCCTATTAGGAATCTCATCAGGACCAAGTACTGATTTATGACATTTAACTTTCTTCAAGGCACGATACGCTTTATACGGGTCAACGAGCATATTGGGTGTACATTCGGCTTGATAGTTCGGATCGTCTTCAAGGGGGTGGAAATCTGATGATAAATTGTGGGTTACCAGTTCTGCCAAACCACAGCCGCTTGTGTCAAACCACAGCCCCTGTCAAACCACAGCCCCTAAAATCACCGGTTAAAACTATCAAGGCATCCGGTTACTTATTGAGAAGGGAATCAACATTTGACTTTACATGTTCAATCAGCAACTTATTATCTTCGGTTTTAGCCGACGGGGGGGGGGGGGTGATAAATTACGCCGAGTAGAATAGTTGAGGTATGGCGTGGAAGGCGATATGGTTTGAGATGGATCCACAAAATCTCGAGACCTGGTAGTTCAAAATTAGTCAGTCTTTCTGCTGGAATCGAATGATGAACATAAGCACATATTCCACCGCCTGTGCTTTTACTACAATGTGATCTATCCTCATCAAAATAAAGTTAGGAATGTTAATTGCTCTGTCTGATACTGCGTTAGTTAGCCATGTTTCAGTAATTGATATAACATGGGCACAGTATAGCTGGGCAATAACATCGAGTTCGTCAACTTTTGGTAATAAATATCTCACCTTGGCCTTTAATATAGGATGAAGACTATTACAATTTTTCACGAGTATTACATAGAGGAATTAAGTTACATCGGTTAATACTTCTAGTTGGAATCCTTTCATAACTTTTTATTCTGTTGGTTTTCTGCGTTAAGCGAAGTGTAATGGGACTAGTGGGTGGGATATAAGTGGTCGTAATTGCTGTCGGTTTTCGGCATCGCCATCGGTGGGCATTGGTTCTGATCCATTGGAGTGGGGGTTTGTTGAAATCTGGTTCCAACTACATCGAATCTCTGCAGACGTAACTCCACTTGTTTCAGTATCGACTTGATACTTTGCAGCGGTTCTAAAAAAGTCAAGTTTTCGTATATTGATTGGGATAATGACGCGTTGTTGAAAATGGTTGGTTTTGTGAAAAAATCTCACTTTGGACCTTTTAAACAACTTCCCTTCCTTTCCAGGAAGGGGCATGGGATCAAGTACGTCAAGGAAGTGTGTTATAGTAATACTTTTGGCTTGCTTTAAATTCGGAAGCGGAAAAGACTTTTTATATTAGGCATATTTGTATATTTTCGAGAAAAAAACTTATTTTCTTTAAACTATCTATTAATAGGACTCTGTAGCTCAGTATAGGTTAAAGTGGTGCACCGGAATCACAGGGTCGCATGTTCCATTCCTCCGTCCCTGCCTGGTATGGTTTAAATTAATCTAAAAACTGAAAATCTTTATCTGCCAAATCGTTTAATATTATTTCAGCCGAATCAGATGCTGCAATGTCATGTTGGACTTTCTTGACTATAAAAAAATAATTAAGATGATCATATTTCTCACTAAGAATTCGCAATTAAAACGAAGAGTATAGGCTGATGTGCATCACAGGTGGCCTAGGCTCTGTATGGTACTTATTTATTTTTATTTTATTATATTTTGCATTAAAAATGTACTTTAAATTATAAAGTATAACTTACTTAGTAATACTTTATGTATTCTATGTGATTTGGGGGTGGTTTTAGCTTGATATAATGATATAAAAACATCATGAAAATGCGATTTAATGGTATATAAATGTAAAATGGTATAAAAAACTGATAATGCCTAAATACGCACTGATTCACAATATTGGTGGACTTACTTGTTTAGTGCATGTGTTATTTCATTTACTTCACTCTCGTCGATTTTCAGGCCATTTCGTTGACCCGGTAATATGATAAGGAGAAAATGTTTTCGAGATATATCATTATTATCATAATTTCCAGACAGCGCGCATGCCAAGCAGAAAACTTTGCTGCCGCGGAATCTCTTTTACAACTGGAAAAGTTTGTGCAGTATCTTTATAACAGCAAATTTTCATACTACTCTTGACATTTAAGGCCAGTTTTATACGTCGAATTTTGGCCGCGTCGAATGCAATTCAAACAATCGATAATGAGATAATAAACCTCATTAAGCTTCATTATCTATTGTTTGAAT